ATTTCGCGAAAAGTGAAACTTTTGAATAAAAATAATTACAATGTGAACTTACTATTTGCTGCGGACCAGTGATCTTGCCTGGTTTGCGTCTTGTAGCCCGTGCGGCTTAGCTGCTGGTGATTGGCGGCGGTCTCTTTGAATCGGTGCGGCTGGAGCTGGCGTGGATGGCCTGGTCGGTTATTCCCTTTTTGCACTATGCGCACTTAACTTTTAACTTGGCACTTGATTCGCGAAGTTGCTGCGGCACTCCCGAAATCTCGTAGAGAGAGAATCAGCGGTTTTTCTTCCAGCCCCGAGAGTCCCGTCTTATATACCCTTTTGAGTAAGCGAGTGCTCACCGAATTTCTTCCAATCGGAAAACTCGATTGGGCCCCGCTGGTTCCTATTTGTTAATTAGTTAGTCGGGTAAACTTATGAGATCGCCAATCGGTGGCGATCTCTCGCCATGGTCGGCTTGTCCGATTTTCCGGAGAAGGGAAAAGAGAGAGTGTTGTTTTTTTGATCACGCCACATAGACCCTTTGCTATTTGTTTATAATAAAATTGCTCGTGGCGCCGAAGTTTCTATTTGCGCCTACTGCTCTAAATTTTATAAGTGGTGTTTTTCTTCTTGACCCGGAAATATCTGAGTTTGTTTGGAAAAGCAATAAATTTTTCCTGCTTGTTATCGAGAAAAAAGAATTTTTTGGTCATTACTAGGCGCGGTTTATCCTTTCGGGCGCCAATTTCCGTTTGCTCCCCTATCGTTTCGGAGTCAAAGTTTCGGAGATACGTTTGAGTTATCTATTGCTTTTCGTTATTTGTTTATTATATGTCGGCGCGTCGCGTCTCCACAAAAGGCGTCCGTGAAGTCTCCAAGACGTAACAAAAGCATCGTTGTTCAAACCTGTATGTTTTAGATATAACTTATTATTGTGGAATAGTGGATTCAAAAAACATATTCCAATATAAACACAAGGTAATATACACGCAAAACACGAAGGAAAGAGCAGGGAGAAGACGCGAAGTTCCTCCTGCCTAAACACTTACAAGACAAAAAAAATGTACATGAAATCGAAAAATAAAAGTTTATTTATAAAACTTTTATTTTTCTTTAAAACTTTTTTTGTTGTTAACTTTTTAATAAACAACGAGCGACGGCTAAAACCTTTTGATTGTTATTCAGGGAAGTATCCTTGACAACATATGTTCAAATCAGAAGATGGTAACCTTTTGTAAATATTTACCGTCCGACTAAACCTTCCTCGCCATACGTACTTTCACGCACACAAAAGTCACTCTCTAACCTATTATCTTATTTTTTTCGAAAACTAGTGGTTCTATGCAAAAAATGCATAGAACATAAATGATGTATTTTTGGTAATTATGCAGAATAGGGGAGCCACCTCCGATTTTAATAATTTTTATATATGTTGTCAAGGTCATTGTCCCGAGTAATAATATGAAGGTTTTAGGCCGCGGTCGTTTAGAAGTTACAGAGGAAAGAAGTCTACTGAACAATATGTAATTTTTGGACATCCTATATATGAATATGTATTCTGCGTGTGTTTGGGCACATGTTTGTTTATACGCTTTTGTAGTTGTATCTTGAAAGGTCGTTTCATGGAAAATGCCTCTATGTTCATGAAGAATATCTTTTTGATCATTATTTGGCAGAATTTGCATTTAAGAAAACGTTCGATTTTGATGAACGATTGGACGCTTTTTTTGAAATAATGTCTGTAACAGACATTATTTTTGATCTCACGTACATTTCGTTCGTGTTTCAAGCGTGTAGGCAGGGGGGTGGGGTGCAAGAGAAGGGGCACAGCCCCCCCTGCCTACACGCTTGAAATACAAACAAAATGTACGTGGAACCGAAAAATAAGAATTTATTCATGAAACTTCTTCCTCTCATAACTTCTAAACAAACAACAACCGCGGCCTAAAACCTTTATATTATTACTCGGGACAATGACCTTGACAACATATGTAAAAATTATTGAAATCGGAGGTGGCTCCCCTATTCTGCATAATTACCAAAGTTACTGCATAAAGAAAAAACGGTTCTTTAAAAAAAAAGAAAACAGTCTACAGAGTCACTGCAAACAATAAATGTTTGGAAAGCAAATAAATTTTGTATCAAGAAAATGAACACTTTTTTATTATGCTATATGCCTACATATTTAAACATTATATATGACAATACACACCTTGCAGTGACAGATATAACTCGTAAGAATATAACGAGATTATAAAAACATGCAATCAAAGTCCAAAATAAAAGAAAGTTCTGGAACTGTAAATGCGAAACTCAAGGGTTATAGCGATTTCGGCTGGTCTGCACCGATGTGGCACCTGTGTAGAGTTGGTACAAGTGTGTGCAGTACGTACACTCATGTGGTGTTGCACTGGATATTTCGACCACGGTAGTGTATATCAGCCGAACACGAAAAGTCGGATTGCATCAGCCGTATCGGTTGGATGTACGTAGTTACGCTGTGAATATTTTTGGACAATTGTCGGCGTTTTACACCACATTTTCGGTGTGTTATTTTCTTTGTTATTTTCTGTTAATTTACAAATATACAACTCCGTGGCTTTTGGCATCAGGAACCCAATCCACGGTTTTAAACCTATCATCAAAAAGACGTAGAATGGCATATGGACTAGCTTTGTAGGTCCACTGAGTCAAAAAAGCATTAAATGAAACCAAACCAGCCGAACACGAGACCACACCAACTAGCTCCAACTAATTTGTGAAAGCCACTTTGTGTACACCCAACATGCATCTATGCGTTGTACTGAGCTCAGACGAATACGCGACACCAGCAAGGAACTGCACCATTCGACCAGCCGAACACACAAGTTACACCGACACCCGAAATGTGCAGTCGGTGCAGACCAACCGAAATCGCTATTAGATTTCCTGTCAAAACAGTAGGTACGAATATATATATAATACTTCTATGTTGCTAGTACGGTGCCGACCTGAAGTCCAAATGTTACGGTGCAGACAATATAGTAGCCTCTCTCTCCAGCTGCTTTGTGCGCATGCGATGAACATTCAAGCACGTTTGGGCATTTCTCTTTCTCGCGTTCTTTCCAATGCTTTGTCTCGCTCGCACTCGCTTAGTAGACGCGCCTGCGCA